GGGAGTTGCTCAACTCGCCAGTATCCTTTGGATGACTGTGGAAATGCACGGCGTATTCCAGAACTGAATTGATCATGCCGAATCGGTCAGGGCCGCTGTTCCTTCCTTAACCCTTTCAATCACAGTTTCGAACTTACCAGGCTAATCTCTACGATCCCTTATGGAAGTAGGGTGCGTGGCGCATTTCAGAAAGGTGTTCATCAGGGCCGCTGATTGTCATTTGTACTTTTTACAGTAATATGAAGTTACTCAAGGAACCGGTAGGTGGTAGTTCGCTGAAGGGTTCTGCCTTGGTAGCGGTCACACCCTAACGCTAAGCAAACAAAAAGGGTGAAAAAGTTTTTGAAAGGGAGCCGGACGTTCTGCACTAATGGCTGACCACGTTAGGGTATCTCATTCAGCTGTTTGGCGAATAATCGGACAGATTGGGTCAATGTGGACGACTAAAAACCTACTAGAACGGTAATGCTTTCAGAAACCGCAACGTATGGAGCCATGGGAAGGAGTGAAGAGATGTCGTCAATTCGGGAATCGCTCCATTCAGGAAGACATGCTCTGGGACAAGTTCACCATTTTCACCCCACAAAGCGAAGATTGCCTCTATCTGAACATCTTCGCCCCTGCGATTGATCCCACAAAGGTATGTTTGGGAACATACAGAGGTTAAAAGATCCTAGTTGGCCATGTTGCTGAGTCACTTAATGGAGGGTTCATTTCAGAGCTACCCGGTGATGTTCTACATCCATGGAGGTGGCTTCATGATGGATTCCGCTGTACGATACAAGCCTGAGAATATGGCACGGTGCGTTCTTTTTCGTCTTAGGACCTATATTTTCATAAATGACGTATTTCTTCAGATTGATCGTAAGCCAAGAAGTTCATCATCGTCACCATTCAGTACCGGCTTGGTTATCTGGGCTATTTTTGCACGGGGGACGGTGTCGCCAAAGGCAACTACGGTCTTTGGGATCAGCTTGAGGTGAATACTCCCCAAATGCTTCTCTGATTTTCAATCACTGAAGTACCTTTCTTAGGCCCTGAAATGGACCAAAGAAAACATCCACCATTTCGGTGGGGATCCGAATCGGATTACGGTAGCAGGACAGAGTGCTGGAGCCGTCTCAGCCGACCTGCTCTCGCTTTCGCCCCTCTCTCGCGGTGAGCTTTTCTACCACAAGTTGTAGCTCTCACGTTTTTCAAAGATATCCTAGGCATTTTCTGACTTCTGTCCTTCAGGCATGTTCAATCGTAAAATTGTCATGGGCGGAAATTTCCTTCTGTTATTGGGCCACCCACCACAAAGGAGAAGTGTGCTGAATATTGCCGGACAGAAAGCGCTGAAAGCTTGGCTGGAAAGCCCCGACAAGAGGGTAGATTTTTATTTCTTCTATTTCTTAGTAATTTTTTAGTGCCTCACTCCTTCTCAACTTGCGACTTTTTCAAGGATATCACTCGAAGGAAGAGGAAAGCCAAGACATCCTGGATTTTATGCGAACAGTGCCGGCTCGAAGGTACCACAATACTTCTTTCCGTCGATTTTCCCACTCATTTTCCCTGCAAGTCCACCGTTTTGCAGGCTTGGCATACATATGGTCGGCAATGATGTGTTCTTCAATGAAGCTCGACTTCCGCTGGCGCCTGTGATTGACGGCGAAATTCTCCCGAAAGCGATTCCTGAACTTCGCGCCGAAGCGCCTCCGATGGAATCGCTTACCGGCGTCGGACGGGCAGGAATCCTTTCTATTCAGTGAGTTTTTCCCCGTTTAATTCTGTTGATCTTTGACTAATCGACCATTGGAAGATTGAACGGTGTTGTTTAGTGGCTCTGGGAGCAATTAGAGGCACTGGCAAGGATATGGACAGACTCGTTCACGAATTTGCTCGTCAAAATCAACTGCATGTCACCGAGGTGGAGGAATTGGTCGAGCGAGTCTATGGAAATCTCGACGAACTGCGTCGAGATCGAAAAGCCATGCAAGACGCATACAGCACGGTGAGTAACCTGTAACCTTGCCGAGTTGGATCCTTATCGTTTTGTGCTCGATCCTAAACAATTCATTGGTATGCGCCATGTCCTTGGAGTCTCGCCGGTATACATTTCTTGACTTCACATGCCTGACACTGCAAAAAGCAGGACTGCTTTTTACCAGCATCAACCAACGTTTGGCTAAGTTTACATGGAGTAGGGGGGAGAACGCTTGTAAAATCGAGTGATCAGCCCATCCATGGTTATGTGAGAGCTATTCACAAAAATGGTGGATGCGCTCTCTCAGCAACTCACTAAGGAGGTGAAATTTTGTCACTCCCAGCGGGGAGCGCTGCAGCCACTGCTCTTGAAGCAGCGGTACACGAGGCAGCTGTCTGCGTCTCGCCCTGTCTCCTATGCTCTCTCGTGTCCCACCCTATTCTCTTCTATCGGTACACATTGACCCTGGTATTATGCTGGGCTATCTCTCTCGTAGGCTCATCCACTTTTCAAAAAACCCTTATTTCTAGTGCTTTCTTCCGTCTCTTATCCTTTTGTGTCAACTTCCGGTGCATTTATCAAGTCTTCTCGAGCGCTTAAATGTGGAATTGCCTCCAATATTGCAAGTATGACAGCGAGCATATGCTTTGTAAATTGTTTCCTTGCTTCGATTTTGAGCTTTTTTCTGCCAAAAATAGTCGATTTGTTAGGAAGATGATAGGCAGAATAATTGGGTCAGTGGCAAAGAGTGCCGCTGCCGCCAATGTCAAGCTTGAGGTTCACCTCTGCGCGATCGACCCTTCATCCTCCAAACTTGATGCATTTGTCTTGGAATTTCTGGTAGAGCAAAAGAGTGACTGTGGTATCAATAGACGCCGAAACTCGTTGTAGGGCCAGTATTTCTTTCAAATTGAATGCATGGCGTATCCCAGACAAATGAGCCACAACTCTCTTTTCGTTCCTATTTAGTCCTTTATAAAGTTTCTGTTTTCAGTGCTTATCGGATACCTTCGCCAACTATGGCTGCCAGCGATACCTCGAGCACAGTCAGCACCACGATAAGTCCACATACGCATATCGTTTCGACTACACGAGTCGAAATATGTGGGGATGGCTGGCTGTGATGGTGCCTTATTTGAGTGAGTGCCTTTCCTAGGCTTATTTTCATAGCTGATCTATGTTCTTGATCAAACATCCGCTTTCAGCCGGAACACATTGCTCCGATGTTATCTATCTGTTCGACTGCAATTATTTCACCGCTCCGCTGCCGATGACGAAGAAAGATCGAAAGATCAGCAAAATGACTAGCAGCAGTTTTATGGAATTTGTAAAAACTGGGTGAGTGCTGACTTTCTAAAAAATAAGTCATCGCTAGAATTCCGGGTTTAATTAGATTTGAGCAATTTCAGTAATCCAAATACCTCACATCTACCTTGTAAATGGGAGCTCACCTTCACATCTACCCTGTAAATGGGAGCCTGTTGGAAAGACCGGCGAGATACGGTCATTAAGCATAAGCGAGAAGCCAACAATGATCGGCGAGGTTTGTTTTTAAGAATATTTCGTTGATAAAAAACGCTTGAAGCCTAGAAAAACCAGAAGCCTCTATGTTCATCTATCTCCTGCGAAAGACTGGACAACTACCTTAAGCTGCATTCTCTTCTTTGAAAAAAGAAAACAAAAACAACTGGGAAAAAATTCTATGGACAACTAAAGAATGACCTGAACCTGAAAGAAGGGACACTTCCAACAAGAGAGCAAAACTGACCACAACAGCGGTTGAAATGAGAATACGCAGTCGTTAGCGGCATCTCGTCGCACTTTCGTAGCTCGAACTCGTCCAAGGCAACCGAGCATGCACAGTCCGAAAAACTGTCTCCATATTGCTCTGAAAGGACATAAACCATATCCTTTCTAACCCGCGCGCTTGATTACGCAGCATGAATATTAGGTTGTCTCATAAGTAGTGGCGCATTTTTTCAAACGGAAATTTTTCTTGTGAACCTCTAATGTTTTACAATGTTTCATATACCATTCGATAGGAAATTATCTGCTCTACAAGAAGGTATGTACCCTTTTTTTGATTGTTGCAAATTGTTTGAGTTTTAGGCATGCAAAGTGGGAGCTTCAGACGACGAATTTTCGCCAAACCGACAGCTGACCTAAACTTTATACTTCCCTAGAAGAAATCAATCAATAATGTAACTATAACTTACTCATAACCTCTACTAAACATTCCACATTTAGGTTCCCTAAAAGCTTGTCTCGTTTAATTTTGAGATTTAGTTATTCCAGTGCAACTCGGTGGTTGCCTGCCGGCTTTTGTGGCACTCGATCCTTGGTTGAAGGTGAACAGCAGAAGGTGCCGGAAGTGTTCCTTTTCGTCGACTTGACATACCACCATTTTCTACGCTAAAACTCGACGATGATTGATATCAAAACCAAGGTCGTAATGCAAATAAGTAGAGCAGAAGAATCACTTTATAAAGGTGTATAAAGTGGCGTCAATACCTAAGAATCGGAATGGAAAATTCCACTCTGAACGAAGCTCTATGGGTTGACAGGCGACCACCGAGTTGCACTGGAATAACTAAATCTCAAAATTAAACGAGACAAGCTTTTAGGGAACCTAAATGTGGAATGTTTAGTAGAGGTTATGAGTAAGTTATAGTTACATTATTGATTGATTTCTTCTAGGGAATTATAAAGTTTAGGTCAGCTGTCGGTTTGGCAAAAATCGTCGTCGTCTGAAGCTCCCACTTTGCATGCCTAAAACTCAAACAATTTGCAACAATCAAAAAAGGGTACATACCTTCTTGTAGAGCAGATAATTTCCTATCGAATGGTATATGAAACATTGTAAAACATTAGAGGTTCACAAGAAAAATTTCCGTTTGAAAAAATGCGCCACTACTTATGAGACAACCTAATACGTCTCAAACCTGAAAGTATTCTACTTTCTTCGAAGGGCTTGCCAAGGTTTGGTTGTTGCCATAGGAATGGCAATGGTCCTGTGATGCGGATCCTCCTTGGAAGGCGGCAGTGCAGCTTCGAGCGTCGAAGGGAAAAACGGACGAGAGAGCATAGGGGACAACAGATACGCAGAAAACGCGCTAGACCAGTATATTGCGGATCAAGTTTCACTTACCCCTGTCTTCGTGATAACGCATTGGGGTTTTTTTTAGGGGAAACCCAACCTTTTTTTTAGACCTGTGGGAGGTAAAAAAAAGCTAGGCGAAATTGCCTAACGGCACACCTCAGAGGCAAAAATCCCTGATCAGCACTTGGGGGAATTTGCACAAAAGGGGCACGGAGGACTGAGATGAGAGAGTAATCGGGAGGGGAGCATGGGTCGGGTGAGACGCAGACGTCCTGAGAAATGGAACTTTGCAGCTCTAGCAACAATTTTAACCCACAGTGGATCCAGTGACCTTAGCGCCATTGTCGCACATCGAGCACGAAACATCTCAACCGTTAGTGAACAAAACCCACCTATGGAAGATAGTGGTTTACTTGAATACAATTCGGGCGTGCTTGATTGTAAAGTGCATAGAGTATCCGGTAGAATATGGCCTCTTTACCCATTTTGACCTTCATTCTTTTGTTTTGGCTACGGACGCCAAAATAGTAGCTTATATTTTCGAAAGTTCCTAAAAAAAACTCACAGGAAAAACTGCTTCGAGTTCTTCCGGTGATTCAAGAAACGATTTTCAGATGTTCGACAACCGCATTCAACGGATCGACGATTTCCTGAAAGAGATCCTTTCTCGACGATCTCGGGACCAATCGTCCTAACAGTCCGTTGGAGAAGTTTCAAACATTTCTCCGCATCTAGAAAAGCTTTGTTGAAATTTGTTATTGTATATACGAACGCCTGTACCCAGACCTGAGAGAATGTCGTTCGGGACATTTCATTCCTCGGAATGAGTGGATCCGGGTGGGCAAATATGAAGGAATCACCCGTTATTCGCTCACAGATCTGTCTGAGTGATCAAAATGGGACGATGTGGCAGAAGGAATTGGCCGAAAATTCACTGATCCCTATCTTGAGGCCATACCGACTCGCCAAGTTTGTATTTGTTTCTGATATTGTTTTGTTATCGGTTAAGAAAATCTGGTCGCTATTTCTCAATACAACAAAGTGCTCTTAATTTAGGTTCATGAACTTTTTAACGATCTCAATTATTGATTGTTTTAACAATTGTGTGTGATGTAATAAATCCTATGATGAATATCGCGTTGGTCAGCTCTCCGTATAAGAAAGGAATCCGTTCACATCTTCATAATGAGATCCCAGCCGCGCGCTTTTTCGCTCGTTCTAGATGTTTCCATAGAGGTTCACGGGGACCGGTTTCCAAGTGTCGGACGATCTTTGGTGTGCGAAACGCAAACCTAAACAGATCAACACTCTTTTGTCATCTTTTGTCGATCCTGTGAGCCATATCCGGGGTAAGCATTACATGGCCGAATTGGTTGAAGGACACCATGTTGGGGTGAAAAGTCACTTTTCATCCAATTTGATTTTACTGGCTCATGTAGCAGTTCTTGAGTAGATCGATCAGTTTGGAATACCAATTTCTTTTTCCTTCTTGGCCATTGCAGGAGGAATCATAGTTGTTGAATTGTCCTTCAAGTGGAACCTTCAGGAACGGGAAAAAGAAAAAAAAAGAAGGTGCTCAACCCAAGTACCGCCACTTAAACCCCGGTAATAGCCCGACTAGTAGGAAGGATACCGCGAGGAAGATTGTATGGTCCGTACTTACCTAGATCATTCCAGCTTCGTCGCAAAATTTCGCGGTTAGGGCGCTAATCTGTCTGCAAACATCGACCTCCGTTGCAACGCTTCCCAACCACCACAAGATGATGGGATCAGCGTGCTCTCTCAAACGATGCGCTCTCTCGCGTATTTTGACTTTTTGGATCGACCTGCCTCGCCATTGTACCACATCTGACCTTACTGAAGGGTAAGCGGCAAAGGTATCGGCTCAGACACGCTATAGAAGTTAATTCCACGGCTGGAAGGTGTATGTGGGTAACTTGAAAAGACTCGTTAAGCCCCCGCGGGCGTCGGTTTTCAATCCCGGACGGCTCGCCATCCGAGACCGCCGCAACCTCTAAAGGCCCGAAGCCGGCGCGTGGCCGGCAGTAAGTAGTTAAAAAATATTGGCCCCCCCCCCCCCCCCCCCCCCCCCCCCCCCCCCCCCCCCCCCCCCCCCCCCCCCCCCCCCCCCCCCCCCCCCCCCCCCCCCCCCCCCCCCCCCCCCCCCCCCCCCCCCCCCCCCCCCCCCCCCCCCCCCCCCCCCCCCCCCCCCCCCCCCCCCCCCCCCCCCCCCCCCCCCCCCCCCACACACACACACACCACCACAACCACCAGCAAAACTTGTTTGTACGTGCCTCTTTCCCAAGCCAGCCTCCTTCACTGCTAGTGGGGGAAGAGGGTTCTCAGTTTTTCTCCACTGTCGTTCCACTTCGCATCTCTATACTCAGTTTCAATCGCCATAATACCCCCTTATTGAGCCCGACTTTTGCCTTTAAGCCTTAATTTCAGCGTTCCCAAAGAGTTCTCTTGCTTTCCTCTCCACTTTCAAATCGTTCCGCAGCTAAGCTATCACTACGAAGCGCTCTTAGCACCAGTTTAATCCCGGGGTTTGCCTTTAAACAATCTTTACAACGACCAAATAATGGCCTGTACCACCTGTCGTCCCGTTGATCATCGATTTGCTCGAGCGGGCGCCAGCAACGTCTCCATTCGTCCCTGTCGCGTGCAAGAGTGGTCCAGTGGACCCTCCTCGCTCGAGGGACACGAAGTCCTTCATTCCTTTCGTTCAGAGCTTTCGTGAAGAAGTCTGACCATCGGGCCGGCGGTCGTCCAGGTGTTCGTTTGACGTCCCGAGGGATCCAGTCGGTAACCGCTGGTCCAACGGTCATCGCAAAATCGCATGACGTGTCCGGCCCACCTTATCTTCGATTCCTTGGCGAAAACGGCAGCGTCCCTGATCTTCGATCGTTGGCGTAGTTCGGAACTCCGGATTTCTGCACTTGCGTGTATAGGGTTACTCCTAGCATCGTCCTCTCGACAGCGCGTTGGATAACGCTGACCGCATGCTCGTCCTGCCTGCGCAGAGTCCAAGTCTCTACTGTTCCGTTCATAGTGTTGCTTCCATAGTTGTTATTGGAAGTGCTTACCTTTCAGTAACAGTGGTATGAGCCAACTATCCATAAGGGAACGTATATCGATGCAAGTTGCTGTGCTACGACGCCTGTGCTGACAAATTCTTTCTTCTCGGCATTGATTCTTATAAGAGACTCGAACTCACCTGTTGTCGAATTCAACGGTACCCCAAGCAACTCTTCGGGATTTGGACTGGGCGACTGATCGCAAACTTTGATGGATTTCATGATGTGTTCGTCATTTGTAGTAATGAATTCACATAGATAATTTGTATATTGTTTGTGCGTAATTGTTTTTGTTTAATTTGTATTTGAAGATCGGTTTTAGATCTATGTACACTCCGTTGCAAAGTATACGACATACCCCAAATTTTGGGTTTCTGGAGTTGCGAGAAACTAAGCGTAAAAATGGCTAATGCCATTCGATTCAGCGTAAAAAGAAACCTATACGAGAGATTTCCAAGCAGGTCCATCAATTTCCAGAAATCCTGGTTCAAAAGTTTGAAAAAAAAGTAACTTTCAGCGAGGTTTCTTGAGCCGCAACCGAGTCCCCTAAAATGAACAGGAAGGACGAATGCCTAGCCATAACTAACGAACTCGCGCCTTTTTCTGACCTCTGTGGGCTTCGTTTGCCATCGGCTTCAGGCCGAGGGGCCAGGTCATCTGAAGCCATCCCCTGTGAGTCAGATTAGCGGGTGGTCTACACTAAGTCCGGTCGTTTCTTAAGGTGGGTCCAAGTGTTTAGTGATTTGTGATGCCTTCCTAGAGACATTGGGTCTATGGGACTTCTCTTTGAAGTCTGAAATGGCTTGGGTGAATCGCATTTATCTTTGGACTTTCCAGGCTCCGACGAAGGCGATACGGCCGAAACCGTTAGCCGAGTAAAACGTTCATAATATGGTGGTTGCGGCTCAAAAACCTCGCTGAAAGTAACTCTCGCAATGCCAAGATTGACCGAGAGTCGAACATGGACACTACGAGGAAACAGCCGTTATAAAACTATATGATATAGCAGAAATTTTTGCAATTTTTTCAACTAAAAGTTTTTTCGTTTTGTTCTCAGCAAGCTTTACAGGCCAATATATGTATTGTAGATGAGCAAGCCCATGGATTGAAGTGAGATGCCAGATCTTGAGAAGCCGATCTGACCGTTTTCTCGCCAATTTTTCTATGCATCCTCCAGCGTGCGCTAATCTTCGGTATACTTTAAAGCAAGGAGATCATGGAATCGTCCCAAATTGGTTCCACACTTGGTTTTCTCGGATTTAGACCTACACGTGGGACAACCGAGTACATCTACATGTAGGCCTTAGGGAAGGTCGAGCAGGCTTGCATTGTATAACAGCGGTTGCACGGTAACTGAGAAGTGCTTGGGCAGATAATGACGCATTCTGCGTCACTTAACTGCGCAGCACGCGATGATTGAGCAATTATTTGTAGTCGGTAGAGTTCTTTCGTTGAATCGTAAGGGTCAAGTTCAGCTTGCCACCCCAACTGTAAGCTGTGCAGTAACATTACTGAGCTCCTTTTCGGGAAGAAGATGGATTTTCTGATTAAATCATTTTTATACTAAAGCCATCCATCAGGGCTTTCTTAGGGAAAAATTTTTTTCACAAAAAACCCAAAGAAGCCACCGAAGGACCATAATTTATTTGGACTGCTAAAGAATAGTTTCGCACAGATTTGCACGAAATGCAATTTGTACAAAAAAGCTTAAATCAGATCTTACCGAATACGGGTATGTGCTATTAAGGCTGCTTTCATAGTTCGCATCGGTGCGGTCGGTGCCGACGGCGCCGACGGCGCCGACCGCACCGACAGTGTGAAGAGCGTCAATACGCACTCTGGCGCATGACGCGAACGTTGGGCGCAGATCGCGTGCTCCGATCGATAATCCTGGTTTTGGTGTATTTCTTGTGCTTTTCGATGTTTTTTTCGCGCCGTGTTTCTTTTTTTTTCGTGTGTTTCCTGTTCATACTTATTCTTTTATGGGCGCAATGTGGCTCGGGGGGGGGGGGGGGGGGGGGGGGGGGGGGGGGGGAGGAAGTCGGTGCGCGGCTCAGCGATGTAGTGTAACTCGAACATTCCAGCTTTTCACGGGACATTTCAGCTTCTCACGCATGCTAAGTGACTGCCCTCACCCCCCCCCCCCCCCTTGAATTGGCCACACCCCCTGGCTTGCGAGTTTCCTGTTGCCGCAACGCCCCGCGCGGCGGCTGCCCCCCCTCCGAGCCACATTGCGCCCTTTTATGTCTTGATTAATACTTTCCAGTTGTTCCGCGGGCGAGCGACGTCGTGAACCCGTCGCACAACTCCGGGTGGATGTGGCCATACCGGGTGTGTTGGTCGTAAGCAATTTTGTTTATTCATATGAAGTGAGTGCAAAAAACATCGAAAAAACAAGAAATACCTCAAAACCAAGATTATCGACCGGAGCGCCCCATCTGCGCCCAGCGCACGCGTCATGCGCCAGAGCGCGTGTTGACGCTCTTAACACTGTCGGTGCGGTCGGCGCCGTCGGCACCGTCGGCACCGACCGCACCGATGCGAACTATGAAAGCAGCCTAACACCTACCCAATACGGTCAATGTTACGAATCTGTCAATCATCGACACACTTCTCAA